ATTCAACCTAGAATGCTGCGGTTACTACAATTAATATTAGGCTACAAAACTAGTCCCAATAAAAAAAATGAATATCATGTATACTAAAATACAAAAACCTTTTTTTTTCTTTTATAAAACGAAATATTCTGAGTCAGCCAGGAGTTCTGAAGACTGCTGGAAAAATGGGCAAATAAAGGCTGTAAGCATCAACATTTCTGATTCTTAGCCACAGCCACCTAAAAAAGAAAATGTGAGGGTTTCTTTTTTACAGATATTTAGTTAATATTACTGTTTTCATTTTTTTGTTTTTATTTTTACAATTTTGATATAATAACTGATCTAAGTGGGTTGCTCTGTGGGGAAAGGCACATTTTACATTTATATTACTGTATGTTTTAAAGTCTCTATTCTCCAGTTAATGATGAATCACTTACTAAATTAGTTGACGATTATTGAAATAATCAATTAATATGATTCATTTTTTTCAGCCCCAGATAAAATACATGAAATGGGCTACACAGAGTAACTACAGCCCAGATGTTCAACTTTTATAGTGAAGTTAATATTTTAATGAATGTATTATTTTGCTTGATACAGAGAGAGAATAGTAGGTACAAATATTAGAGTGGGGTTTAACTCTGCACAATTCTATATCTTCAGAAGAAAATACTGTATTTACCTTCTCTCTTAGTCGTTCAAATGAAACCATTTTCAAAGTGGAAAACAGTCCTAATTCCACATTCATCAGAGCCGGTGATACTTCAAACATTGATAAACAGCATCTAATGAGTGTAGAGCTTATAACATTTTTATTAATGGAGCAAAATGTTTTTCTCTTTTAACAATGAATTCCCCTTATCAGTACGGATGCTCACATTGAGCATAAAAAAGGACATGCATATTGCATAGCACCAATGACACCAGGCCAATAGTGTCCCTACCAAAGTTCAAATCAAACCTACGCCCTTGATTACCCCGACCACAAAGTCCGGCTCCAGACGGACCAGAAGTGTCCGGGTGCTAATCATAAAAGTCTTGAATGAAGGATGGGTCCAGAATGTTACTGGCTCGCTCCCATGATCTCTCAGGGCCCAATCCCTCCCAATCAATCAGGAACTGATGTCCACGACCCCGATGCCTCACAGCCAGCAGCTTCTTAGCTGTGTAGACTGGTTCACCATCAATAATCTGGGGAGCAGGGGGAGCTTTGGTGACAGGTACCAACTTGCTTTCTCTGGCTGGTTGGATATGGCTGACATGAAAGAGGGAATGGCCTTTTTTCCCCGGCGGCGGTTCCTACGCCTGAAAGAAGCAGATTGCAGGGGGAGGGCAACAGCTGGTGATGGTGGAGGTACAGGATCAGAGGTTATTGATTGAGTGGGAATGTCACGGAATGATGGTTTGGGTGGTGGAGGTCTATTAAAAACCTGAGAAAAGGCATCCTGTATATTCCACTTGGCCAAAGCAATGTATCCAGTCTTAAGGAAAAAATCATGAAAATCCGGAAACTTCTCCAGTTTCTCCTTTACCAGCTTAGCTGCACCCACCCACTTCAAAGGTGGGCTGATGAGAGGTAGGCTGTCCAATGTGGATATTAAGAGAGGAAGGAAGTTTCTTATTGGGTTTGCCTCTGCGGGGTCCATGTTTTGGTTGGTTCCTTCTGTCACGTTTTGGTTGAGGTTTGGAGGACCCAAATGCAGAGGCAGAGAGGCTGAGGTGAATACTTGTAGTTTTAATGAAAAAGGTTAACAAAGGCAGTCCAAAAATCCAATTAACAATGTAACAGACCAGAACCATGGAGACATCAAGGGAAAACACGTAGAAGGAGCCAGGGAGAGAAGAGGGGATACGACTTCAGCGATGACAGGACCAGCAACAACAGAGGAACCAACAAAGAGTGAGAGCAGAGGGAGAGCATAAATAGCTGACAGAGACAAAGGGAAGGCTAACGAGCTGACAAGGAGCAGGTGTGAGGAGACAACGAGGGAGCCAAGGGGAAAGGAACACACACACACACGAGGGCAACAGAGGACAACAGAAAAACATGAGAACTAACATAAAACTAGAAATTACAACAAAATAGGAATTAAACCAATAAAACTAGAAAAAAAGGAGCAAAGTAAAGCACAACATAACCAAAACCATGACATAGATGTCTTATTCCTCTTATGCAATATCAGGCTCAGCCTAGTTCACATGTAAGGTTTTTTTCTCTCATCATCAGTTCCCATCCTTTCCATACTCAGGTTCATGTTGTACACTCTCCTTGCCACCATTCTCTCGCACCTTTTTCTCTTCAGTCTGGCCCGGGAACATTCTTTTGGGGGGAAGACGTATCTTCTCCTTATCTCACAATTATCATCCAAACTCATTCTCTTCCAGAACTGACAGGTTAATCAATTAATCTCTCTAATTGTGTGGCTTCTTGTGTGTGTTAGTCTCTTAAGGCTGAAATGATGTTACACAGATATGCTGAGTTATACATCCATTTTTATTTTTCACAAAGAATTAGATCACTTTTACTTCATTTTAGGGGCTAATGTTCCTGGTGGGAACCCGAAAGTGACTTTCAAAACATTATTTGCAGGGCGTAATTCAAACCTCTGACTCTGAATCTGATGACACCTTAGATAGTTTTCTTCCAAGCACAAACAAACCTAAAACACTGGTAACATATTGAACATTTCTTCATCACATGTTCTCAAATGGATTACACTTACTGCTAAGAGCAATAACATTACAGGCTGGATTCAATGTTCCACCACTCAACAAACGCTTTTCACCTCCCTTGCACCTCTGTTCTTTGACTGATAACTTCCTGGATCTAACTTAATGTTAGCTTTGCACATGAATCTCTAGCCCTCGTATTGTCCCAATTTAAATGCTTTTTCCCCCCAACTAGAAACACCACTATTGATTGACTCCTTGTTCTGGTTATTACTAACATTAACCTGATGGTTTGATCACAAAGGGTCTAGATGGATTACGTACCCTAGCAAAACAGATGGCCGAGGATACGGTCATGATCTTGGCGCTGATGACTGGCTTGATTAGTCATTTCATTCACTTGTCCAATCCTGCCCGGTTGCTCATTACCTCTCATCTGATCCACCTGCTCGTACTTATATTTTAACTGCTTGCTCCCAGTCGTCAGTGCCAGATTATTCTTGATCCTTTTGTCTGAGAGTTTTCTACCATTACTAATAGTGTTCTGATTGCCTGATCATTACCCATATCTGTCTTCGGACCTTTGAGCCCGCCTGCCCACTGTTCCAATTTGTTTGCCTTACCGGTCTTCTGGCTCTGTTGGATTCTACTGTGACTGAAACTGCTTCTTGACTTCACCCTGTGGATTATCCTGCCTTCCTCTGTCATCTGCTTGGATCTGATCTCCTGTCAATTCGGTGTCCTTCAAAGTTTCGGTGTCAGAATCTCTCTGTGCGGCAACTACTGTGTCTTGTCAACTGACCGGCTGGTATCGACCTTCTCTGGGCACGGCCTGCACTCAAATTAAATCTTCAGATTAAATTAAATTCTGAAATCAGATTAGTGATTCGTGCATTCAGATCCTCCTCTTTCAGGTTTTCGTGGTCACTAGCCTGTGTTTCCCCTCGCCAGTGTTACCTGCCTCAGGCTCTCTAGCCGCTGCTGCTGCAGATCTAAAAACTGTCTGCCCTTGCCTTAATCAACGCCTTTTAAGTTTGTCTGTCTTGCCTGAATACAGGGTCCCTCTGTTCTAAGTCATTACAGATTCTGAATTTCAGAACCTGATTGGTTTAGCTCTGTTTTTGGTAAATGGAAAACTTTTGTTGTTATCGCCAAGGCTTCGATTTCCGCATCTGCAGCTATTCTCACCTGCTCTGCCTGCTGTGCAAATCCTTATCTGCATTTGTTATTACCAGTTTAATAACAGTAGCTATGTCTGAAAAATAGACCACTTCGCCATATCAGATGCCTTTAATGTCAAATGTTTCTTCACATGACTTTTGGAACATTGGAAAGCTTGAAAGTATTTTTCCTAGACTCTAAATTTGCTATGGCATGAGATTTCTGTGTTTGTAAATATCTACATATCCACAGTTTTTGTATTCAAAATAAATGTAATGTTATGGTTTGCATAGTTGAATGTGACTGTGACTGAGTGGGAATATGTGCAATTGTGATTTAATCTAAATATCTATTTATAATGGACTGAATTGCATTCATTTGAAATTCTGATCTTGTGTATGAAAGGGCTACAAAAACAGTGTTTAGCAAATTTAAAACTTTTTACTTTCTGGATAGAATTAAATGAACTCAAAAACATTGATACAAAATGCATGACATATGAGTTTTCCAGGGACTGCACAAGAGGACTAAGGTCATTATGATTGGGTTAGATCATTAGCAAACAGTTCTGACATGAAATGTGACGTGAACATTTATATAGAGCAGGACTTGATACATCCACTTTGTTAAAGAAAAGGCAGATGACAAGCATCCTTGATCTAATGTAAAGCGTCACATAGGTAAATAATAATTTTATTGGACTTCTTCATTTTCTATTACCTATCAGCCATTATTCTTTTAAAAATACACTTTGCATTTAAAATTATGTAATGACTAATGGGTTTTTTTTTGTTTCCTACAGATAACGTTGATCCAGCTTTAAGAAGTGACCAGCATGCTGAATGGATCCCAGACTGGGTCGAACATGACATCTCTTAGTGAGAATCAAGAACTATTGAAAACGATTATAGTTGCAACTCTGTCTACGGTTCCATCTTTTATTTTTCTCTACATTAATGGGACTATTCTGTTCACTCTCCGGAGTAAAGCTGTATTTCGTGACACAAGTCGGTACGTTCTTCTCTACAACCTCCTTCTGACAGACACTCTTCAGCTGGCACAGAGTCAGCTGCACTTTTTGCTTTCTAATTGCAAAGTAAAAATGGCATATTCAATCTGTATTTTCCTGAACTTCCTTGCCAGTCTAACAACTGGAATTTCTCCACTAACACTGGTAGTAATGCCTTTAGAGAGATATGTGGCTGTGTGCTTCCCACTGAGGCACTCCTCTATCATCACCATCAGAAATACTAACGTGGTAATCATGGCAATCTGGGCTGTCACCTCCTTAAACAATCTCACTCGTGTTTTTTGGTTCCTAAAATCTTCATCAGAAAAAATTGAGATTTCTAAGCTTAAAGACCTTTGTTCTACAGTGTCTTTGATTCTTGGGGCTTTAACTAACGAGTATGACAGAGCCTATACCTGTGTTGTGTTTGTTTCAGCTGGTGTTGCTGCAACTTTCTCCTATGTTGGTGTCATTAAAGCAGCCAGATCAGCCTCCACAAATAAAGCTTTAGCAAATAAGGCCCGTCACACCCTGCTGCTTAATTTAATTCAACTTGGGCTGAGTCTTTCCTCAACTATTTACACCCCACTTATCATTGGTCTTTCGAAAATTTTAACAAGGATAGCATTTTCATGGGTGCGGAATGTTTTCTATGTTTGTTTTATAATCTTCCCTAGATGTTTGAGCTCTCTCATCTATGGGCTCAGAGATCAGACCATCAGACCTGTCCTGCTGTATTACCTATGTTGTCCTCTTAGAGTTGAAGTCAATGACTAAGTCTTTCTTTCTCCCTTCTGAAAAATGGCTATACGGTGTCCAGAGTCAATTTGGAAACTTGGTTTGCTTTGACCCAAGGGAAAAAAATGGGTACAGTTCTCTCAATACATATGTTGTCATGAAGAAATTAAGTTTAAAACTAGAATTAAAATTGATAGGCAGTAAAAAAGCATAATAGTTAGACACTTTCATTAAAACCTGCATCTCAGAATCGAAGCTTTGAGTGGACGTTTTAACCTGTTAGTTTAAAGCTTAAATGTTTAGTTAATAGTATATCTCTTAGGTTTATATAAATTACTAATCTTTATGATATTCTTGTGTCTTCATGTTTGTGGTCTGTTTGTGATTTTAAATATAAATGCACTGTATAGATCAAATATGCCTTTTAATGTTGAGATTTCCCTTGATTTAATAGTTTCAAACATTTAAGGGAGCGGGCACTAAAGGGAAAATATTAAAATGCCTCCAAGCTTTATAATCTAGTCTTTTAAGAAGGCTGAGAGCATCTTGGAGATATTTTTAACATTTAAATCCAATTGGATATTACCGTCACATGAAGTTTACACTTTAAAATATATCAGTGAAACAACATAAGTTCAATTGTTTGAATATGTTTTGCTTATTTTAAGTGAGCTGCTGGCATGTTTTTTATGTTCATTTTGTTTTAACTGTTTCTATTATGTTTTTGTGTTAAATATTTGATCAGCAATGCCTTCTGGAATCTTACTAAAAACTAAAATATATATTTCTCACTCACTAACTTCATTATGTGGAAATTAAAGTGTACTTTGATGAAGAGTCTGTTATTGAAATTATAATAAAAAATATAGCTGAGTATGATATCCATGCAGTTCATCATTGCCTCATTTATTTTTATTTTTCAAATATCAGTCATTTAGAAGATGTTAAACATATTGTATTATGATTTAAAGTCTGTTCTTTAAATTCTCTTTTCTAAAAAGAAACATTTTTTTACACTAATTCATAGTCATTTGTTATTTATACTGAATAAAAATGAGAACAAGTAAAGAACAAGTTAGATGTATTTCAAATTCAATAACATCCCATATTTTATATTAAGTTGTGTTTACCCTTAATATAATACAACATTTAACATGATAACAGCTAATAGCTTTGTCCAAAAGTGTTGCTGTTTTTGGAGGCTCTGGGGTTTTTTTTTTCATTTGATTTAAATATATTTTATTTATTTATTTATTTTACAGCCACTGCAAAAAATAACTTGCTTCTGATTATAATAATCTAATTTATTTAATATTTCTGTTTGCCTCAATAAATCATCACTAAAAAGCAACAAACTTAATCCGAATTCTTTATTGAATTATATTCCCATTTGCAAGAACCATTAAGGACCAAACTTCTTCTGTTTATTATAGCCCCTAAGCAAGTGGAATAAGTCTGCTCTATCCGAATTAGATCTAGAGAATATAGGTGGCCCATCTGGACAGAGTCTGTGAAGACTTTTATTAGAATAATATGTGTCCCAAGCTGTGCCGCTTTTTTGTGGTTCCCAAGCTGTGCCTCTTCTTTGTGGGTCACAAGCTGTGCGGTTTCTTCTTGGGTCGCAAGTCTGTGACATGATTTAGTTTTTTTCAACAGTTCAGCTGTCTGATGGCGGTAGGGAAGGATCTCTTTCGGAATCTGTTGGACATGCATCAGATTCTTCGAAGCCTCTTTCCAGAGGGCAGCAGGGAGAACAATCCATGGTGGGCTGTGAGAGATCATTGAAAATGTTACAGGACTCACAGTGCAGGGATGAAATGTCTTTTATGGAGACATTTCATCCTAGAGGAGAGGAGCCCCGATTATCTTCTCTGCTATTCTCACCACTTTTCTCACCTTCTAAAAGTATGCGGTGCTGCAGCCTCCACACCACGCAATCAGGCAGCTGGTCAGAACACTCTCTATGGTGCTTCTGTAGAAGATCGTGAGAATGGGTGAGGATAGTCCGGCTCTCCTCATCTTCCGAAGGAAGTACAGGTGCTTTTTTTTTAACCTTTTTAACAGTGAGGTGGTGTTTACAGTCCAGGTTAGGTTGTCTGTAATGTGCAACCCCAGGAATTTGGTGCTGCTGACCACCCCTACCGCTGAGTCAACCAGCTGCTCCATCGTTTCTCTGTAGACCTGGTCGTTGTCATCTCTGATGAGGTCCACCACCGTAGTGTTGTCTGCAAACCTTATGATTTGATTGGTGGTGAACTTGGGGACGCAGTCATGTGTCCTCAGGGTGAACAGCAGGGGGCACAGTACGCAGCCTGTGCTTAGGGTGATGACATCAGGGGAGTTTTGTCCGACCAGAGTTGCTGCGGTCTGTTTGTGAGGAAGTCTCATAGCCAATTGCAGAGGGGTGTTCCAGTTTCCCTATCAGATGCTGTGGGATGATGGTGTTGAAAGCTGAACTGAAGTCCAGCAACAGCATCCGCACGTGGGTGTTCTAGACCTCCAGGTGTGCTAGGCTCAGTCGAAGAGCAGAGAGGATGCCATCTTCAGTGGAGCGGTTTCATGGGTAGGCGAACTGGAATGGGTCGAATGTTGGGGGAGACTGGAGACAATGTGTTCTGTGGAGTAAAAAGTTTTGAGGTATGTCTTTTCTTAGCCTCCCAGGCTCCAAAAGAAGGTCATGAGAGATAAAAATGAGTAACACAGCCTCCTTAATGGCATGAAGGGGAGGACTGTTGTTTTGAGAAGATCCATCTGGCCAGTGAAAGATATATTAATCTAACAGGGAATGGCCCTGACGAACTGAAGTTGTTTATCTTCGATGTTCAAGTGTGAAAAAGTTCTTTATGCAGGGGGTTGGTCGGCTCCCCTGTGGAGGGTGTGTGTGTGATTTTGTAAGGTATAAATGTATGTACTGAAATGCCCCAGGGAGAGCTCTGTCTTTCCGTCCGAGGATGTTAAATAAATTTGAACCTTATTTCTTGCAAGAAATGCCTCTGCCTCAGCTTGTCCAGTGAGTTGTTAAGATGTCTGTGAGGACAGCAGCCAGCTGACCTAAACACTCCTTGAACACCCGCCCAGGTGTGTTATTGGGACCTGGGCCCTTTCTTGGGTTGATTCTACTTAGAGTTTTCCTCACTTCAGCTATGTCAAAGTTGAGTGCATCTTCCCCCTGGTGTGCAATGGCTTTCACTGCTGGAGTGCTGTTTAGTGCCTCCTGGTGTTGCTGGTATTGTTGAAAAGATCCTGGACTTTCTGGCTGTGGTTCTACTTCACTGATCTGATGGCACAGTTCAAGTTGGCATGCACTGTTTTCAGAACCTCTCTATCACCAGACTTGAAAGCTGAGTTCCGTGCTTTCAGCAATTTCCAAACCTTTTCATTCATCCAGGGTCGTTGGTTTTCTTGGGTGGTGATATTCTTTGTGATGCTGACATCTTAAAAGCATTTGTTGATGTAGGCTGACACAGTCATGGCATACTCATCTACATTTATTTTGTTGCCATAGGTTGCTGCAGCTTTGAACATATTCTTGCCATATTCTCTTGACTTTTCCCTCTTGATTATCCTTCCTTCCTCCATCATCTGAAGGTCTGTCTTGCCTGAATACTGGTTCTCTCTGTTCTGAGTGATTACGGAATAATCTGGCCATAACATGGACCCATCGGCAGTCAGAGAGTGGCGTTCTGAGGTTGAGCAAAGTATTTCATGGCTTGAGTCAGGCATGCAAGAGATACTTGATTAATCGGGCTACCCCCACTCCCACACTTGCTGATGGATCAGCTTGTCAGAAACCCCGTCTGTCCCCTCTTTAAGGGTGATTCAGAGCAATGTCAGGCTTTTCTGTGAGATTCACTTTGAACTTCAGCCCTCCACATTTCCCTCGATTTGTTAAAGGTGGCTTATGTAATCTCTCTGTTAGCGGGCAAGGCTAAGTTGTGGGAAAGATCAGAGTGGCAAAACAATCCTTGCCTGTGAAATTCCTATGATTGTCATGGTCTTGGTTCTGTTGTGCTTTACTTTGTTCCATGTTTTCCATTTTTATTGGTTTAATTCCTATTTTGTTGTAGTTTCTAGATTTATGTTAGTTCTCAGGTTTTTCTGTCGTCCTCTGTTGCCCTCTTGTGTTTGTTCCTTTCCCCTTGGCTCCCTCGTTGTCTCCTCTCACACCTGCTCCTTATCTGCTCGTTAGCCCTGCCTTTGTCTCAGTCAGCAGTATATATTCTCTCCCTCTGCTGTCACTCCTTGTATGTTCCTTGTTGTTGCTGGTTTCTCATGCTGTTGTCTTCCTACCTCGTCTCCCCCTGGCTCCTCGTGTTTGGTTTCCCATGATGTCTCCATGGTTATGGTTTGCTTTACATTTTTAGTTGGATTTTTGGATTCCTGCCTTTGTTTACTGTTTGAATCATTAAACTGCAAGAAATCTCCTAAGCCTCTCTGCCTCTGCATTTGGGTCCTCAAACCTCAACCAAAACTTGACAATGATGACTTTTCAAAGAAACTAATCTGAGTTTTTTGCCCAGTTCTTTCTAGTTCTAGTTCTAATCTACATTTGAACAGATGGGAACATTGGAAAGTTAAATGAGGAATACCAAGCTCAATTTCTTGTCAAATATAATAATATATAATATAATCTAGATATCTAGATTATATTATATATAATCTAGATATCCACACCATGTTTTTTCCACCACCACAGAAGAATTTCTCATAGTTTGTGGCTAACTCTGCTAGTGTACAAACTTCTTAGGGGAGCCAAAAACTTAATTGTTTAAGTGTTTTTATAAGTAGGCATAATGAACGTTTGGCTTTACTCCCTAGTGTGTCCTGTGACAAGTCACAGAAAAAGCAGTTTTCTTAGACTTCAAATTTGCTATGGCTGAGATTTCTGTATTTATAAATATTTATATATCCACAGTGCTCTTATTCAAAATGAATTTAATGTTATGGTTTGCATAGTTTGCATAGTTGAATGTGACTGGGACTGAATGGGAATGTTTGCAACTATAATTTAATCAAAAATATATACCTATAATGGACTGAATTGCATTAATTTGAATTTCTGATCCTGTATATGAAAAGGCTTTTAAAAAAACAGCGTTTTAAAACCTTTTTACTTTCTGAGTTGAATTAAATTAACTCAAAATACATTGATACAAAACGCATGACATATGAGCTTTTCAGGGACTGCACAAGAAGACTAAGGTCATTATGATTGGGTTAGATCATTAGCAGATAGTGCTGACATGAAATGTGACGTGAACATTTATAAAGAGCGAACCTTGAGATATCCACTTTAGTCAAGAAAAGGTAGACGACAAGCATCTTTGATGTAATGCTAAGCCTCTAGGTAAATGGTAAATGGATTTTACTTGTTGTTTTTCTATTATCTATCAGCCATTATTGTTTAGAAATAAACTTTGTATTAACAATTATGTAATGACTAATTGCATATTTTTTCTTCCTACAGATAAAGTTGATCTAGCTTTTAGAAGTGACCAGCATGCTGAATGGATCCCAGAATGAGTCTAACATGACCTCTCTTAGTGAGAATCAGGAACTATTGAAAACAATTATAGTTGGAACCCTGTCTATGGTTCCATCTGTTATTTTTCTCTACATTAATGGGACTATTCTGTTCACTCTCCGGAGTAAAGCTGTATTTCGTGATACAAGTCGGTACGTTCTTCTCTACAACCTCCTTCTGACAGACACTCTTCAGCTGGCACAGAGTCAGCTGCATTTTTTG